AGTGGATCTTATGGAGTACATAGACGCGGTGCAAAAAGAGGGGTCCTTTGGGGGAATGATTGGGCAGGGGGTGACTACCCTGTTATATAAGAAAGGAGACAAGGACAATATTAGAAATTRTAGGCCCATTACCCTTCTTMYGGTCCCCTACAAGATGGTGGCTAAAGTCCTAACTAACAGATTGCTGCCATTCATGAATATGCTGATTCACCCGGACCAAACAGGGTTTATGCCCAATCGGAACATCCAGGATAACATCCTGTTGGTCAACGAGACCATCAAATATGCCCGCCAACGAAGGGCTCAGGCCGCAATCCTCTTCATAGATTTTGAAAAGGTATATGACCATGTCGATTGGGACTTCCTCGATATGTGCCTTCTGAAGATGAATTTTGGTCCGAGTTTTTATACAACTCCTGCATAGATCAGCCACAACCAACATAATGCTGAATGGTCATCTTTCGCCACCGATTCACCTCCAGAGATCGGTGCGCCAAGGAGACCCCATTGCGCCGCTGCTATGACCTTACTGTACTAATACGCGCCGACAACGACAGCATTCAGGCACTCACCCAAGTTATTCATCTTTTTTCACTGGCAGCAGATATGAAGGTTAACTGGGGGTCTAAAACTGAGGGCTGGTGGCTCCACCCCCAAGGACAACCACCCCCTCCCGAGCCGAGTGTTGCTTGGGCCCGCAAAGAGGACGCCATTAGGATACTTGGGGTTCGTCTGACCGCACTGGGCCCCCCGCCGGACCACGGGGACATGCTAGTTAACATGGCCATTGACCGCTTGGCCAGCTGGGAAGGCCTGCACACATCACTGGTGGGACGTGCTTTAGCAATTAATAGTGCCATCCTGGCGGCCATCTGGTACAAACTGGCAGTCTGGCCGTTGACTAAGCAGCAGCACACAAGGCTGAAGAAAGTCCTCACGACGTACCTATGGAAAAACAGTGCTAAAGCTCAAGGCTGCATCTACAGGGTGAAGTGGGATGTGCTCACACAACCTAGATTTGAAGGGGGACTTGGAATCCTGGACCTGGAAAGACAGACCGAGGCGCTCATATTTAAAGTCCTGGTCCGCTTGCTCATAGGGAACGACATTCCTTGGAGACCGTTGGCCTGCCTGCAATTAACCAACCTCGCTCCTCGAAATGAGGCCCAAGGAAAGGTCCACCCATTTCAATGGCTGACAAATAGCTATTGGACTGTCCCGGTTCCCCCCAAACAAGATCACCCCGCACACTTAGATGATCCGGCGTATGCTACAAAGCACGACATAACGACAGACCCGCTTTGGCCTTATATGATTAAACTTTGGAGACGGAGGGGGCCCCAACAAAAACACCCTCCGAACAGGTGGCATGACATATGGAGGCAACCCCTCTTTGGCAACCCTTACATCCTGCAAGAATCAGGCCAGCCATTCCCCCTGACCACTAACTCCCCCTGGCTGACCTGGGCGAAGAAAGGCGTGTTTACGGTTGGTGACCTGTGGGACCCAGTGACTCRGGAATGGRCGACCCCGGCCCAGCTACAGCGCAAACTTAAGTATGCCAAAAATGTGGAAGAAAAGGCTTGTCTACTAAAAGAGGCCCTCCCCATTGCCTGGCATCTCACTCTAAGGGAGGGACCAACGGTCCKTCAGGATGACTGGGTTGTYWGATATTCGGATTCGYCGACCCACCTCGTCATATTCAAAGTTAAGAACAACAACCACGGGATCTGCGATCTGGAAGCCTAYGARCCCCAATTGCCTGGGGCCACGCTTACAAAACTGGTGAGAAACGACAGCCTGGACACCACAGGCGCATGGGGGGGACTGATGCAGGTGAGGGTGGTGGGAGATCAGGAAAATGGATACTATGCATATGAGACCTCCACTCCTGTGGCTAAGCTACCCTTTGATCTGGCGGAATGGGAGTGGCCAGGCCCTAAACCAATGCATCTATGGAACTTCACAGTCAAAGGAGGATACCGGACATCACGACAACTCCTGCCGATCACTCAACGATTGCCGCCAGATGGGAGCGAGATTCGCCGCTGGACCATAAATTGTCACGGRCTTTCRATTGGTCCAAATATGCAAGGATCATGCCTACAAATCATAGATCGTTGCAGTGGCAGATCCTCCACCGCTGCCTCCCCACCCCCGACTGGATAGTGTCAAGGACTGACCTGGAGCAGCAAGGTAAGCTATCCCCGATCTGTGCSTATWGTGCTCACACACCGGCCAGGGCGACCCTCGAACACTGTCTTCTGGCGTGCCCGATGGTAACCCAACTGTGGCAATGGTGGGATGCGGCCTTTCACTCCCTCACCGGATATCACATACCTTGGGATATTGGCCTCCTGCTGCTTGGGAAGAACTGCCATYTGCTGACTGCCTGGTCTCCGTTTGCGACCAATCTTTTTTCATACACCAGGCTGCACCTTCTTATGTTAGCCTGGAGAGCCAGATGCTCGTTCGAAAGGAAAGACCACCAATTTGGTCTGCAGCAGGCGCAACAAGCTGTCAATGAGCACATCAGGACGAATACCCACGAAGCCTGGAGGGCCATGAAGCGCGATCTGCTGGAGGAAAAAGACCCTCCAGCCAGGGAAGCCATCAGAGAGGCTTATATGCTTATTTGGCAGGACCCTGGCAAACTGTTCTCAGAACTGGACAGTTCTCTTGACATAACGTGGAAACCTTGGAGGGAAA